CACACACACACACACACACACACACACACCTACAGATACATGTCCGTCCATCTGTCTGACTGCATCCACCCACAGAGGTAGAAAGTAGTAAATGACATTGACTATTGTTATTGAGTGTGAATTTTGTGTATTTTGTATTTTTGTGTAATTATATACATTTTAATCTTTATGTGGGAATGTTTTATTTAAATTATTTTTCTTAGTTACAGTTGAAATTTTAAATAGAAATGTAGAAAACCAGTAATACATTTTCCTACTATGTGGAACAAGAGGGAGGATGTTTGAAGAGTCCACAATCCAGTTTCATGAAGACAAATTGTGAGAATTTTTTATTAGAGTGTTGAATTATAATTTGTGAGAATACCTGAGTATCATTTAAAAGGTTTTACTGTCTCATTTTTATTGATTCATCTATAATTAACAGCTTGCTCTGTATTAAAGGCTTTAATTTAAAAAAGCCTGGATATTCTGGATTTTAAAAGTCTTCAACAAATAAAGATAACACATTTTTTTAAAAAATCATATACTATTAAATTAAAATATACAAACCTATGTTAGTTGAAATAAAAATTAAACAGAGAAATGTTATATAATCTACACTGAAGTGCTGCAGCTCGTTTCTACATGTCTACTATTAAATAAAGATGTATGTTCCACCAAACATCTGAGCTCCTCTGGATTTACAGTAATTCATGAGCAAAGTTAATATTTCCAGGCTCAGAATGGAGAGCTGTACTGGGTATGCCCTCAGTAACAACAGTGGGAGCTTAACACACACACACACACACACACACACACACACGTACACCCACTCATCCTTTGTGTGTGACAAACACATTTTAACTCCTCCACTTAGGACATTTTTTCACTCACATTATATTTAATTTGTTATTTTCCTGAATCTAGAAATAATGCCTGATTGCAGGGATCACACAAACATGCAGGAAGTATTGTTTGCATCTATTTAACCTGTGCAAATGAAGGTTTGTCAGGGGTGCAGTCTCATGATCCACATTGTGATCCATTCAGTTCCACATTGATTGTGATGTACAAAACAAATGTGCTTGGATTCTGGCATACACACGGTTTGATACATCTGGATTTTTTTGTGTTTATGCTGTTTTCTGGATTTGACCTTATTCAGTAAAAAATCATGCAAGTCTTGTACATGATGCCCCAGCTCCCCCAAAACCCTGTCTGGAAAAGTGGGTAAAGAAAGTGAATATAGATGCATGGATTCAGAGCTGTTGTTGATTCTGTGCTCTGTTCAATCAGGACATAACGTTTCACCAGCTGACTAACAACACACAGTTACGCCATGCCTACGGTGCTGTTTTGACCATTACCATGGCGTCTGATCAAAGTTTCTATGAAGCTTTTCATCAGGCTCAACTCAGCAGAGAGATCCGTTCTGCTGTTGCTGCTACAGAGGTAAGAGAACGAATATCAACATGTAAACAAAGTCATTTTACAGGATGGGTGGCTCAGCAAAGCAGGGCTTTGAGCCGTTGGTTCACAGGTTCACCTTCATCATAGGAGGGAAACCTTTAAGTTAGAGAACATAGAAGAGGTTTCCTTCAGGTCAGATGGACTTGTTCTTTCATTTGTCTCATTCATTCTCAGCTCAGATTCAGCTGAGAATTACCATGAGAGCACAGGAAACATACGATGGGGAGAGAGGACGATTGTTTTGTGTTTGAGCTGAATTTTGGTTCATTTGGTCTGATTTCACTGATCTCTGGTCTCTGCTGAACTCCATGCTACGGAGTTCAGAACCGATAAAGCTGGACCACACAGGGGATTCTGGTCAAATGTTGGATATTTTTATTTGTCGTTTCTGTCTGGAATAGATGACAGTAGGATGCATTATGTGTAGATCTGCTGAGAACTGTTTTCATTTTTAAAATAGATGGAAAGTGAATGCATACCATTTTTATAAATATTGTTACTGTCATTAATCATTCATTCATTTTAACTGTAAATTCTGAGAAATCTAGACTCTAAGAAATCAGTCTGAACAAACCCATCAGGAATGGTGTCTAGAAGACTAAAACATTTGAACTTTTCTGTTTTCAAGTGTAACTTCTCCAAATATTCACGTTATAACAGATCTGCTGAAGCTGGACAACAAAGATTCATCAGGTTATTAAAGAAAAATCATTTTGGACAGAGAGGCTGGAGTTTAATCATCTTTTCTCTTGATGTCTAATCAGAGTTTGTGTTCATTGAAATCTTTTGTCCCGGGTTTTTTCCACAGGTGTCTCCAGTTTTTGGGACAGTCTATAATATGGTGTACTTTGTTGCTAAAGCTGTGGAAGAGCGTCGACAGGCGGGGGGCGGGCACTGGGTGACAGGCAGCCATCTCTTCCAGTCAGATGGAGGCTTTGATTTCCAGGGTTTCAATCAGGTCAGAAACACATTCAAATACATATTTTGTGAAAACAATCTGTTAAATTCATTAATCCCTTCCCAGATTATGTTTGATGGTTAGATTAAAGAGGTGATAGAGCTGAAACAAAGCATTTCATCTGTTTACTTCTAAACACTAGCTTCTTCAGAATGATGCAATTTTAGCTGTAATCTGGAAAAGATATGAGAATTAAAGAAAATATTATTTGCTGTTCATTCTCATTGTCATGGTAATATTTATTTAACAGAGACAGAAATACGTGGTCCAAGAATGAAGGTACTCCGTGAGATGATCAGCTGAGTTTTATTGCAACAACAGGAAACACAGAGAACAACCTGGCCTGTCTCTGTGCCATTTGATCAGATGTAAATTTTTTGATTGTTATAAATTGTTAAAGATCACAAGATGTATTTGTATTACATTACCATAACCACTAAATATACAATCCCCTCCAAAGGTACTAGAGCAGCAAGTCAAATTCACTTTATTTCGTTATTCACTGAAGATGTTTAATTTAATTTAATTTAATTTAATTTAATTTAATTTAATTTAATTTAATTTAATTTAATTTAATTTTAGAATAGTTTAACCAGGTAAATCTTATTGAGATTGCAGATCTCTTTATCAAGGGTGGCCTGGGCCTGAAGGCAACCCTTTATACATGTTTTTGATCATAAAAAAGGGCTTCAACTCAGACAGTTTTTGACATATTGAGCTAACAATTGGTATATAGGTAGCTGAGAGTAAACTCTGTCACATGCTATAGCTGAAAAGTAATCCTAGATGGCTGCCACACCTAAAATGCTAAATTGACCATAGCACAGCCATTTTTAGACATATTTTGCTCATATTTGGGATGGTAGTAGATGGCACATAGCAAGCCCTTTCATAACTTCTCCAGGAACTATTCTAGTTTGTTTTTATGACTTCTTTCCATGTTGTTAGTATTGATTTGACCTATTTATTTTCCAGTTCATCTATCAACTCAAGTCGTTTAGTGTCTATTATTGCCTACAATGGGAAATCTGTATTTATATTTTTGGAAAAAAAATTAAAAGCCAAAATTTTTTATCTTTTCTGGAGTACTCATTGATATCGGAAGTTCACTGTTCCATCATATGATTTCACACTGGTGTATATGAGTCTAATAAATATCAGTTCAAATCTGATTAGTGTCCCCAACTTGGCAAAAGTGTGACAGAGTGCAGAAACAGTGATCACCCTTCTGTTTCTACCCTTGGTACATGCTACAATGAACAAAAGTAAAAGAACAAATCATTTTAAAGTAAATACCATTTAATATTTGGTGGCAGAACCCGTGTTTTCAATGACTGCCACAAGTCTGTGACCCATCAACACCAAACGGTTACATTGTGATGCTGTTCCAGGCTTTTACCACAGCTTCCTTCAGTTCTTGTTTGTTTCAGTGGGTTTCTCCCATTAGTCTCCTCTTCAGGAGGTGAAATGCTCTGTTAGCTTCTGGTGATTCAGCCAATCTAAACCCTGATGAAGTCCTTTGTTTTGTTGACAGTGAGCTTTGGCTCATTGTCCTGCTGCAGGAGAAAATTTCTCCTGACTAGTTTGGATGCGTTTCTTCATAAATTAGCAGACAAAATGATTCTGTACTCTTCAGAACATGGACACTTTGAATCATATCGGAGCGTGACGATATTGAATAAGTAAAAGAAATCCTCAGATGCAAATGGAGTCAGAGAGAGAACAATAGAATCAGAGACACCAGGCCCCAAGAGAAAAAGTAAGGTTCTTGTTATTTCATGAAAAGAAAAACCCTGTAAGAAACGTGTTTTTACTGAGAAGTGAGACACAAACCAGGAGACAAATTCAGACTTAGACTTGAACATTTAATATCAAAGAATAAAGTCATACAAATAGCTTCAGTTGGACCAAAATGTTTTGTTAAAGAATCTCAAACAAAATCACAAATATAAAATATGTATCTAGTTTGTTTTTATGACTTCTTTCCATGTTGTTAGTATTAATCTTTTCAGAGTCTGGATATCAATATGTCACATTTATTGGGAGGGTCTTCTCCACCTAGTGACTAGACCCATTTACAATAGTCTACCACACTGTAGCATGAAGAACCTCTTTTCCAGCATGAACTCTTGACTCTGCTCTACCCTAAAAATACACTTTTTCAATTCATCAAACTGTGCTGTATTATCACCACAAAACTAAACCATAATGTGATGCATGTCCCTGCAATATATCAGATTATGTGGTAAAGATTACTTTGAGCTACTACTACATCCAATAATGACTTAATATTAGACAGAAATGTCCTGATGCTTCTAATCCAGGTAGAAAAATCAAAAAGAAAAAATCAGTAGTTCCTCTGGATGGATCTTCTTTAGTGAAACATTTCATCTCTCCTCCAGGAGACTTCTTCAGTCTGATGAGTTTCAGGTGAACTCAGCCTTATAAGCTCCGCCTCCACATGGACAAACAGGTTGGTCACATGCAAAAGAGGGCCATCGACTAACAATAGGCTTGATTAGCTCTGTTGTTCATAGAGGTCAACTCTGTTATTACAAGTATGACTCCGCCCCCTTTTAGCAAACAGGTGTGAATCAGGACTCCAATGACACCAACACAAAGAGGGAGAGAGAGACAAAAACAAGGGGACTTTGAGCCCCGCTTACATTCACTACACACACATAACACAAC